TCTCTCCAGCTGCCAGGCTGCCCCCCCCCCCACCGTCGCTCATCAAGGTTTCCTCCCCCTCCTTGCAAAACCACTCCCTCTGCGCTGGGAGTGAGTTCCCCACCAGTCACGTGCCTTGGCATCTTTTAAAACCGCTCCGTAAAGTGCTTTGGGCAAACAGAGACTGAATCAAAGCTCCTGGAACGAGGCAACTCCCAGAAGAAGAAACTGGTGTTCCACGGACATTGTGAGCTTAATTAATGGACTCTCGGTCGTAATTTATTATCCGACAGCAATTAAACAGAGAGAAAATAAGCACCGAGGAGGGTGATCTCCTGTCTTCCAACATGTGTTTGCCAACAAAATGGAAAAGGTTCCTTGCCACTCGGAGAGCCTGCTCTCTCACAAGTGTCTATCAGCGAGCTGCTGACCAGCCTCGCTCTTGTCCGGTTACTAATTTGGATTGGACACGTGCCCGTTTCTTTTCGAGCTCAAGTTTTACCTAAAAATGGGGTGACAACGATGCAACAATAGCTTCTGGTGTCAGCTCGACCTCATTGAGAGCCGGGGTTCTTGTCTAAGGAGGCCCTCGGCTCCCCCACCCGACTCCAGGCTGCCAATCTGGGCCCAGGTCAGGTGGTTGCCCTGCAGGCCTACCAGCCATGAGATTGGCCTCTTCTGTCAGCCCCTTCCTGCTCCCTCCCCATCCACCTGGTCAACCTGTCAGCCACCCCCGGCCACTCCTTCTGATTTCCCTTGAGGACCAAGGGCAAGGAGAGAGAAGGGTGGGCAGTGCTGCCCCCAGGGGCCCCCAGGCACATGCGCATCTTCCTTCTTACCCTTAAACAGCCCCAATGGCTCTGGGCTGTTCTCTTGAGCCCCTGCCGCTGAGCTGTTGCTGAGGTCCCAACGGACTGTGGCCCAGAGCTTCATGGCACAGCCCTGAGCACTGGGCCAGAGCCATGGCTGGGCGGAGACAGGGAATAGAAATGCTGGCGATAGGGGCACCGGGGTGGCTCGGTCAGTTAAGCGTCTGACTCTTGAGTTCAGCTCAGGTCATGATCTCACAGTCTGTGGGTTTGAGCCCTGTGTCGGGCCCTGCGCTGGCAGCGTGGAGCCTGCTTGGGATTCTCTCTCGCCCTCTCTCTCTCTTTGCCCCTCCACTCCTCGTGCTGTCTCTCTCTGTCTCTCAAAATAAATAAATAAACATTAAAAAATTGTTCATGCTGGCCGTAAACCCATTTCTGTTTTTAGCGATATGTTTAATCC